TGTATCACAGTTTCCACAGAAATATTGAGCAGCACAACTGTGTTCAACATTGATAATAATAAATGTTTCTTGAGCAGCAAATCAGCATATTATACTGATTTCTGAAGATCATGTGACACTGAAGACTGGAGTAATGATGCTGAAAATACAGCTGCGCATCACAGAAATACATTACAGTTTAACATATAATCACATAGAAAACAACTGTTTTAAATTTCAATAATATTTCACAATTTCTACTGTTTTTACTGTATATTTCATCAAATAAATGCAGCCTTGGTGAGCAGAAAAGACTTCTTTCAGAAACATTTACAAATCTTTATACCAATATTTTGACTGCTAGTGTGCATATATATACTGAACATCAAACCGCTGAGTACATATATGTGTATTTGTTTTGTATACTGTATGTCTCAGCTCTACGCTGTCAGCTCAGCTCAGGGTCAGTTTATATATCTGTGTAGAATCTGTGCAGGTATTTTTAGACTTTAAAAACAAAACCGGCGCAGGAGAGGGAGAAATCTGCTCAAGAGACACTTGAAAGGGTTTCTGGAGCAGGATTTGGTGACAAAAGTAGGCCAAGCGTAGCTCAGAGATCACCTCGCGCTGATGAAAATATTAATATGACACACAGACACAGGAATCTGTGATGACATCAGGACTCTGTGTGTGTGAGTTATTGTCATCTTCATGGGTTTGTTGAGCGTCAGAATACCCAGCATGCCTCAGCAGCCCACGGGCTGGAATAAGCAGCATTCGCGTCCTACGACACGCTTCTTTCCCACGGCACACGGATCATCCGTGAGCAGGCCTTCGCTCATGTCACACACAAACACGTGTCTGCGGAGCCTCGGCTAATGCGGCCCATCTTCTGGTTATGGATCGCAGGGAAGCCAGAAGCATATTCACTCAAACACAGACTCCAGTCATTCACTGTCCCAAATACTCTCAGTCTGACTGGAAACGTGACGGTTGAGCTGCTATTGTCCCGTCGGCCTGAAGCGCTCCGGATCAGCAGACAATAGAGCGCCTCACTCATTAGCATTGTATTAATTGGTGAGATTGGGTGATGTGACCCAGTAATGGAATGCAGTGTGTGTGTGTGTCTGTGTGTGTGTGTGTGTGTGTGTGTACCTG